AACAAACACATCATATGGAAACCAGTAATGGCAACACAATTAAACTTCATTTTCTGTTTACAGACCCTCTCTTTGTGTGTCAAACATCATCTGGTAGTTTTTCTTTTTGAGTTTTAACTTCAGGTATTCCTTTCACTTTCCGTGTCCATGCGTATTTAATGCGTATTTGGCGACTCATAAATAACACCTCCAAGTCTGAGGAAGAGCATGTTTGCTCCAAACGTCACTTAATAAATCCTTCAAACGGGAGCTCTTTGGCGTGCGGGTCTTGTTTTGCTTTCCTTACTTCTTTGTGATTTTTGGATCCGGCACAAATCGTTTTCACAGATTCACATTCAGTCGCCGTATCCAAACTCTATAAAAGTACAGTATGTGGAAAACATTCGGACATTTAAGCATTACAATGAATATTCAGTAATCAGAGTATGATATTTGATATATGTTTGTGTAATGTGTAGCTACATTTTTTCAACAATGTTTAAACCCTGGGGTAAAAATGCTTATATCCAATACACAGCAAGTTTTATATGGTTGCATTTATTCCAGGAAAATACAAGAAACCCTAGAATATACATCACAGTGTCGAGAAGAGAACAGTGTGTTTCATGTTAAATCATGAATAAAAACCACAAAACACGCATGAACACAAATGTCCCTTCATATGCTTCACCTGTACTTGTTGAGGGTTTTACCTTTTGAATAAATTAAACATTTTTCAGGGGCAAAAATATAAAACACAGGGAACCACTGACTTACAGTGATCTTTAACATAAAGTAAATTCTCAACGTATTGTTTTTAAGTTCATTGTTTTTGTTTGAATTCTTAATCTTAAAGGTAAACTCCTGCACACTAACTAAGGCTTTTCAGTGAGTTGCATCAGATACATTTTTATTGGGTTTTGTAAATTGTAACAATGTAGACAACAAGTCCCATGATGCAACGCTACTTCATGAAGTCATCGCATTACATTTTTCTTAACTGTTTTGATTCCTTGGCAGAGAATCTGATTTTACATTAGAAAGGCTTTACTGTACATTAAATTCTGACGGCTGATTCATCACTTACTTTGTCGTCTCTCAGGTTTTATGGTTTGATGACTGAATGCTGGCAGGAGGGACCAGCACGTCGGCCGCGCTTCAAGGACATCCACGCCCGCCTGCGAGCCTGGGAGGGGTTGTCATCCCACGCCAGCTCCAGCACGCCCTCTGGCGGCGGAGGCAACGCGACCACCCAGACCACCTCGCTCAGCGCCAGCCCGGTCAGCAACCTCAGCAACCCTCGCTACGCCGCTGCCGCCGCAGCTGCTGGGTACCTCTACCCGGCCCAGGCTATGACCTCTCCAGGCCAGATGGCTACCATTCAGGGCTGGACGCCCATGGCTGTGCCCCAGACGCACCAACGCTTCATCCCCGTCAACGGATACCCCATCCCGCCAGGTTATGCAGCTTTTCCGGCCCACTTCCCTCCTCCTGTCCCACCAACCAGGGTCATCCAGCACCACCTGCCTCCTCCCAAAAGCCGCTCCCCTAGCAGTGCCAGCGGCTCCACCAGCACGGGTCACGTCAGCGGCGTTCCCTCCACCACAGGCTCTAACCATGACGCCAACACGCCGCTGCTCTCCCATTGCATCATGCCGGGGAGCGGCGGGGGGCCGGTTCAGATGTATGGACACATACATCAGAAAGCGATGGGACAGCTTGACCACCAAACATCGGCGCTCCTAGCTGCTGATTCTGACGTACGGATGTACAACGACTCGGTCATCACAGCAGATCTGTAGATAGAGAGACTCACACTTTCTGCACGGGGACCCAAAAAAAGAGAAGTTTAGCCTCTCACTCAGGGACCCGGTGTGACAATTCAAACAGAAACTGGCCTGTACGCACATTCACGTGTGCAACAAACACTGCCGCAGCCACACACACACACACACACGTCCACACAGCTGTGAGACGTTTTACTGCCTTTTTGTTTAAAGCAAGTGTACTTAACTACCATGGTTTGGAAATGTTGTGCGATTATTTTAACCTCTGTGTAAATACGGTACATAAGTCCTGAATGAATGACGTACGAAGATATATATTCAAAAGAACTTTTTATTTGAAACAACGTTTTTAAAGGTGACAAAGTAGCAAAAGTCCATCCAGCGTCCTAAACATGACAGATACAAAAAAGTTCCTGTGTCAACGGACTGATTCATGCAGGATGTGAAGGAAACACTGACATTCATCTTATGACCTGTAGGGGGCCTCTCAATAGCAGTGTGCTTATTTCTGGACACATAAATACAAATATGCGGTGCAAAGTGTCTGGATGAGAGAAGAAAGTTCATTTACCGTAATCGATGAAAAAATGGGAACAGCAGTCTCAGCAGCCTTTCTAATGAGAAACAAACACACCAGTTACATGAGGCTTTACAGCCGACATGCCGCATTCTTTTAGGGTATCATGATGTCACAGCTATGGGAAACTGGCAGAAACTCAAACTGAAGAGCTGCATGTGATAAGGTACACTGATCTGGTAGAGTGCGTCTTCAGTTTCACACAGAATCTCCTCCGAAGTGACACCTGAATGTTTTTTTGTGTGCAGCCTCGACATTTCTGTTCTGCAGCATGGACACAAGGCCTCCACGTTGAAGAACGAGGAAGCTGGGAGTTCTTCTGATTGGACGATAAACTCTCTTTTTTTCTCTCCTTCACATCTGATGCTTTGTCATTTTTCCCCTCTTTCATACCTTTCAAGCAGTCATGCATTCACACTGGACTATCTGTACAGTGCCCAAGCACGCTTTCCCCCTCAAAGTCATGCGATGTTACGTAGGCTAAAAGAGGTAAGCGTGCTCGGGCCCGGTTAGTCCTGGAGCGGTGTGAGTGCAGGCCAACGGGGGAATGGGAAGCGGGGACAATCGTGCTTCAGCAAAGTACGAGACAATTGGGCCTATTGTGAGTGCACCCTAACATAAAAAGCTGGCTTCAGAAGTATCTACTCAACACGATCAGATTGCAGCCTCCACAGCAGCTGGACCGGTCTGTTCTCAGGGCGAACACTTCGTTTACCTAAGAGGACATGGGCCAATTTACTGTCAGCAATGTAAGCTCAAATTTCACCCTTTTTAAATCACAATTTGGACACGTTTCTTTTAACAGGAGAGGTTTTCAGTATTTACATTTTGAAGGAACTTTAAAGAAGTTTTTATTCACATCTTTATATCATCTTTTTTTCCGAATCTGTACTGTGCAAAAAGAAAAACAAGCCTTCAAGAGACGGCGGCATGAAAACAGTCAGAGCAGGGAGAATAATGAAACGTTACAGGTAGCCTTGGTACGAGAACAAACACTGATGAATAAAATGTTTAATGTGTTTTAATTTATGCCCACTCCGTCTGAAAAGAAGAAACAAACAGGGGGAAGACAGTGTCAGTGTTTGCAGAGAGGTTTATGTTTGTTTTTGTTTTTTTGTTTCTTCATTAGTGAAGTGTATCAATGAACACCTTGACACAAACTTTCAATGACAAGGGTAAGAGCTGAAAGAGAACAAAACGAATCTGTCCATGTGTTCTTGTTTGTCTCTAAAATCACAGCTCTGTTTAAAATCTGACATGTTCAGTAATCAGTGGATTCTGGTGCATTCACTCACGTTTCCATTTTTCAAACGGTATAAAGACGTTAGTGTGTTTGGGAAAAGATTCAGTCCTGATTTCACAAATGATGCCTCAGTTATAATGATGGTTAATCAGAAGCAACAGAGCCTGTGATATAAACACAGATTATTACGGTCGAGGAATGTTTCTCTGTCACTGTGTAGAAGACAATCATTGGTTGTAAAAGTGTCCCTGACTGTTTGTTTGTATTGCACTCTGCTGTTTTATTTACATAGATCATAGCGATGAGCTGTATTTGCTAAACAATCACACATTTAGCATGGCACAGCTTTGTGATAGCAGTGGCTGAAGCGCAGTACAAATAGCTCTTTTTCCTATCGTCCATACTGTAGCCATGTTTACGCCTACAATTTCGACAGCAATTTGCAATATCTGCAAAGCTCTTACTATTTTCTAACCGATGTTGCCTTACATCAAGAGGAGTCATCACCCTGTTGTCTTCCACAAAGTGAAGCATACTTTGCTTAAACACTAGTATCCTATCAGTACCCCGATATCTGCAATAACGGAGTCCAAGAATCATGATAAGGTCCTACACAGAATTCACAACAACATCTTTATTTACAAAGGCATATTAAGGATCCTACAACTTCAAACACTTTAATTCAGCTCCTCAAAGATCCTAGAAATGCATTGAAATATTTAAATCCTAGAGTTATGGCTTTGGTGTTATTGTGAACTGCACCATGGGCCAATTTGTCTTTTTAAAACTGTCGTCTCAGCTTTGCAGCCATGTAGATTTTGTAACATCTACATCGATACGTGTGTTTGCAAGGAGCACATGACGATATAGTGGCATATCCATTTTTTGAGCACAGCCCTAATTGAAACCATATTAAGTCAAAAGATGATGTTAGTGGGGCGCTGGTAGCCTAGTGGTTAGTGCAGGCACCCCATTCACAGAGGTCATAGTCCTCCAAGCGGGCGGCCCTGGTTCAAATCCAACCTGTGGCTCCTGTCCTTCCCCGCTCTCTCTCTCTCTTGCCCCGATTTCTGACTCTCCTCTTTCTGAAAAAAGGTTTAAAAAGGTTAATAATAAGAAAAGGCTGAGCGTCTGCAGCTGGCAAACTGAAGGGAGATCTTTGTTCCTCATGGTTTATCATTTTGATTTCTTTTGTCTCATCGTTCCTCTGAAGCACATCGAACTACCGTAGCGTCTTCACTCTCCAGCATGAAAAGGATTTCTGTGTACTAATCCAGCAGCGCAACAAAAACCACTTCTACACAAGACTGTGAACCTGAATCAAGTCTAGGTATTTTATGTGTCTGGCTATGAAAAAAAAAAAAACAACTGTTGTGCCTTTTTAGTTTCATGAAAGAACCATTTTTACTAAAAGAAAATACAAATGTTTATTTCAGTAAGAGTGTAACCATAACAGAAGGTTTACATGCTTATCCTTTTGACCGACAGAGGCCTTGACTTTGTACTTTCTCTGGACATTTTTTGCACAGATGTATGTTTTGTATTGCAAAATTATGAATTAAATAATGTTGTTTGGTTAACTGTGCACTTCACATGGTCATCAATGTGTGAGCGTGCAGTATGTGTGTGTGGATGAATAGTCCGCGTGTCAGGCCAGCAGGTGCCTCTGGCTGCATGTCAACAGGTGAGGCAGGAAGTAAGAGGCGGTACCATCATCAGGTATCAGCTCCAGGAACTCTGCAGGGCTCATCTCCATGGCAACCACAACCAGCGTCTCTGTTGGCATGAAAATAATCTATATTAGCTCTCATTCAAGGTTTAAGGTTCGACTCTAATGAAGACGCCCTCAGGTGATTCGTGAGCTCCAGTCCTTTCTTTGGATTGTGCCTGAGAGAAGGAGTCTATTGTGTAATATATTTGGAAACAAATAAAATGCTTCTACCTTTGAGAGCAGCCAATAGGATGCTGTTGTCTGCAGAAGCTCTGGTCCTGTTGCAAAGCTCCGGGAGCAGCTTCTGCCACCACAACACCTTTAGACAGACGACAAGAAGGACATGGTAACGATACTTCAGGGGGCGGGACACTCAGTGTATTCTTCAAAATATACTGAAACTAGATGGATTGATTAGATAGGTAGATATATTTTATATTGACCCCAAACTGGAAGTTTACAGCGTTAATGTGCAATAACAGAAATAAATGAGTAAAAAGTTAAAGATTAGCAGCTGGTGTTGCTCAGTACGTACCATATTCTTGTCTTGCAACTGGTGGTTGGCGTATGCTATGATGGCCTGAGGACATCGGTCCAGCAGCTTTTCAATGCTGCTGCCGTACTGCCCCCTTCTGGTGGCACAGAGGAGGTGCAGGCTGAAGCCCCACAGGGTTTCCTCGGACAGACGCTCCAACAGTGGAACGACAGAGCCGACAGAGAGAGACGGACCGCACAGGAGAGACTGCAGACATGACAGAGATACAGGAGAGGTTTAAAATCAGAGACACTAATGGAACTTCTAACAGATTAAATGTATTATCCTTTGACTTAAATAGAATTGACAAATTGTTACAAAATGACATGTAAACCAGGACAGATATATAACCGCTATCCACTCTTGTTCCTGCAATGGCCAATCTGAAGGCTTCAAATTGGTAGTCCTTACAGTAGCTACGTCCACTTTTCTACTTTTCATTTGCATCGTTCAGTATGTCCCCTGAGTTGGGACACAGCTGCAGTCTGTCATCATAAATTACCTGCAGTTTGTGCAGCGCCTCCTGGTGTTGGAAGCTGGTAGTGTGAACTGGACTGAGCACAGTGAGCCATGGATACAGAGCGCCATAATGAGAGCACGAGTTGATCTGAAACACACACACACACACACACACACACACACACACACACACACACACACACACACACACACACACACACACACACACACACACACACACACACACACACACACACACACACACACACACACACACACACACACACACACACACACACACACACACACACACACACACACACACACACACACAAAGACGCTGATTAGCTTTTGGGAGTTACGTGTAGATGAATGCATTTTTATGGCATTATATACATACATACATATTCATTATAAAACTATATTCTGCACACTTTTTTTTTTTTTTTTTTTAAAAGCTGACGTTTTACATAAACGTGTTTTGCCTGTCGGGCTTTGACCAAATATTTTAACACCTTCGAACAAAACACCAACTTCTTCTACTACTATAACTAATAATCTACAAGTATAACGTGCTGTGATGTAACGTACCAGATCATCAGCGCTCTTCAGCGGCTTTTGACTAGAGAGATTGTGTGCAGGCTCTGGATCAGGTTCCGAGTGTGTGTTAGTCAGCCGGTCGATGTACACAGACGCCACTCTGAACAGAAGCTCCTGGATGACAGCGTCCTGTGAGGAGGCCATGAGCATCGCCTCCCAGAAATCCACCTCTAAGCTGTTCTCACAGCCCAGCTCCTACACACACACACACACACACACACACACACACACACACACACACACACACATGTTACTCTTTTTCTGAACACCTTCTATGTGGAATCTATAAAAAAAAAAAAGACACTTAACAATTGTTGACATATAAACCTTGAATATGTGATCCGCCTGTTCCAGCTGAACTTTGTTGTTTTCATGAAGAGCCACCATAGCAGCCACCAGCAGCCCTGGGTTGGACTTTGCCAGCTGGCGAGTCAAAGCTGTGACTCGGATGGGTGTGTGCTGACCTCCGACCCCGCCGTGAACCAACATCCTTGGCTCCTCGATGAAGCTGTACACCAGCAGCATCTGAACACACAGACACAGACACAGTTCTACATCTCAGGACTTCTCCAGACTCATTGATTGATGCCCTTGAATACCCCTCTACAAACTAAATGTAAATTATTTCAGTGTTAATCATTACAATTATTCATTAATCCTGCATATTAATCCTGCATGATTGCAAATATATTGTCACTGAGATTAAGCAATGAAGTCTCAAAATGTACAATGTGCTAACTGTTTGATTTAATGTGAAAAAAAACATCAAACTGGATTGATGAACATCTGGATTTTTGTAACATTGTATTATTAAGTTTAAGTTATTAAAAACATCCAAAAATAATCCTGCCTTTGTGTGTTCGTCAAAAACAAATGTATTCCCCTTCTAACCTCTGCGTGTCTTTCCATCAGCTGCGTGTACTGCGTCAGGTCGTCCATGAGCAGCATCATGGTTGCCATGGTGATGGTGAGTGGGACCGACACGCCGGCTGTGTCCTCCAGGTTTTGTAAGATGCGCAGCGTCCGGGCAGGACTGATGTTTGTCATGGGCGGGCTTGCACATACGCTGACGAGTTCCGAGGGCTCTGATTGGCTGAAAATGTCCATGACCTCATCAGCTGCTTCCTACAAAAAGAGAGTTCTTTAACTGGTCTTGATTTTTATTCATCCTATTCAGAAAATGTTGTGAAGTTTGTACATACCTGACTGAGGCTCTGCTCGGTTTCCTCTAACAGGTAATGCTTCAGGTAAAATAGGAAGCCAGGGCCGTACGAGTGAGGGCTGCAGGGGAATGGGCGGTTCCTAGCGATGACATCCGTGACTGGCAGACCTGACATCCTGTAGTACGGCAGAGCCAGGTGACAATCCTTCTGACTGCCCCTTACGAAGAAGAAAATCTCACATAAGTACTGAGGAAAGTCAAATTTTCCAACTCAAAATGATTCACCAGCAATGGTCGGTTTCACCTGCTGAAACAGTCTCCCAGCTGAGCACAGTTCTGCCTCAGAGCCTCATCCAGCTCTCCAGTGTCCGCCTGTGTAGCCGTCTGTCTCTCCGCCGGTCCGTCTCTCTGCAGGGACACCACCAGGTAGTCCTCGCTGTCCTGCAGCAGCTCTGAGTTTTGGAGTAGAGCGGCGCGGAGGAGGAGGTGAGCTTCACTGAGGAGGTGACGGAGGCTTTGTGCCTGTGGGTTTGACTCTGCATACCTCTGGCTGTATTCAACCTGACACACAGACACACACTAACAGTTAAAGGTCACATATTATTCTCCTCTTCAACAAGTTTCAAAAAGTCTCAGAACTTAACCAAACATGTCTGTGAAGTTTCTTGTTCTAAATCCACTCTGATCCTGTATTTCATCATGCCTAGAAACCCCTCTATTTCAGCCCTGCTCAGAACAGGCTGTTTCTGTGTCTGTAGCTTTAAATGTAAATGAGCTGTGTCTGACCACGCCCCTCTCTGGAAGGGATTGGGCGTTTTGCACTATGCAATATTGTTTACAATGAGAAGGCAGAACAAACACCTAGCTGTGGGGGTGTGACCCACCTGAGGGAGGGGTTACTGCCCTTTGTGATGTCACAAAGGGAAAATCTCCAAACGGCCTGTTTGAGTACACATTTTCTGAAAGGTGGAGCAGGCAGAAAATGGAGAGGATGGACTTTTCTCATAATTTAGGGGGTTTAAAGACAGACTAGGGGCACATATTTATGTTAGGAAAATATGGTGAAGTGGATTTTTTCATAATAAGTGACCTTTAAACACTTAGTGTAGTTCATAACATAAAAACCACAATCAAGTATTTTCATATGCTTTGATAGTTTTTCCCCTTTTATACCTATGTTTTTATTCAGGTACCTCTCCTGTTCTGTAGGAATATTATCACCAAGACGCAAACAAAAGACAAATAGGTTAACTGAGTGTGTCTTCGTTACCATCTCTTGGTAAAGTGTGAGCGGGGACACGGTGTCGACCACGTAGATATTCCATCCATGTCCTGACGCGCTAATTCCTTTGGAAGAGGACAACGGCCACTTCCTGCTCCTGAGGTCAGAGGTTACACAAAGACACAAGAAAAGAAAGCAGAATTATTATAGAGATGAGCTGAATCCCAAAAATTTGATCTAATGATTCAGCAATTTGAAAACACTACAGAGTAATGAATGAATATGTGAGCATGCATCAGGTCAGATCTGGAGTCTGTGATTCAGAATGAATGTATCTGATTTAAAGTTAGTAGAGAAAACTACGACTTGGCTGTCCATTCATGGAAAGTCAATCAGGGAAGTAAATCCTTCTCTGCCGTTCATTTAGTCTATGCCTTCATTTTGAATCAACAACAAACTATATAAAATGAGTAACTGCATCACTGTAGTATTTAAAGTTAAGAAAAAACAATAAACTGTTCTACTTTGACATGATCAAACAAACAGTTAGTAAACAGTTAGTGCACAGGTTAAAATAATACAAAGGTAACCTGGAGCTGAACGGTGCTCATGGTATAAACAAAGGATATTACGATTATGTGTGTGTGTGTGTGTGTGTGTGTGTGTGTGTGTGTGTGTGTATACATGTGTCCAAACAATACATTTTGAGACGTTAGGGATACCACACTGAGGTCCGACGCTGAGACGCTGAGATGCTGAAAAGCAATAATTACCTGTCTGCACAGCTAGAGAAGTGATACTTAAAAACATGTAAATGTTTCAAGGGGAACTGAATCCTCCGATAAAACATCCTTCTTACTTTGGAAAAAAAAAGAGAAAATAAAATAATGAAAGGTGTGTGTGAATGGTTTTGTGACAAGAAAGCAGGAACCTGTCAGGTCGAGGTTGGACTACAAAGTTAGAGAGTCAAATCCAAAATGTGATTAGTTGGTGAGCAAAACGTCACACACACACACACACACACACACACACACACACACACACTAGGGGCAGTTAGGCAGGTTAGGGTTAGACCATGTTAAATCACTAAAACATGAACCGATCGATCACCATAAATAATTCTATATTTCATGAACTGTCAAATAAATAAAAAAGATTTGACTTCCTCTTCTCTTCTTTGAATGAAGTTTTGATAATTTAGCTTTTGCATAACTTGTGTTAGCATTCTTGCCAATAAAGCATCTTGAACTTGATTAATAATTTGACTTCCTCATCAAACAGTTAGCCTGAAGGAGATCTCTTGATTCAGGTTAAACTTTCTTTACTTCTTCATAAAGCAGCCATCATAAGAAAAGGGAAAAGCTCCATACTCCAGTTGAAGAGAGTCCCCTCTCTTAACTCTTTAATCTAGCAGTACGTTACGTTAGTTTGAACTGTTGAAAACACAAACAAGCTACCTCAGCCTCCGTATTTAACTCTGAAAGTGATGTAGAAGTGTTTCCATTAGAGCTCATCTAAAGATTTGGTTACGATCATCCTCTAATAAAAGCTTTTCGGGGGTTTACTGATGACGTAGCTCGGGCTGGAAATGACAACAGACACTTAGAGGGAGGGGGGTGGTCAGGGGGTTGGGGGGGTGGTCAGGGGGTTGGGGGGTTTGTCTTACAGGAAGGGGCGTGATAGAAGGCTCTCCAGAGCCGGCGTGGTTGCGGGATCGATTCCCACCGCCAGGAAAATACCAGTCAGCATGTTGTGTTCTTTCAACTCGCTACAACAACAACAACACACACACACACAGTGAACAGGTTTATGAATGCAGGTAAGCCTGCTCAAACACATCACCTGAGTTATAAAAGGTTAGAGTAAAAAGGTGTAGGACCATTAGAGGTGTGTTTTTCACTTTGTGTTATATATGTGTGTGTGTGTGTGTGTGTGAGAGTGTGTGTGTGTGTGTGTATTTGGGTTGGACTTACAGGCCTCTGCGCTGTGTGTTGCGTTCCGTCTCCTCTGACGTCTCTGCGTCAGCGGTGGAGAGCAGGATGACATGGCGGCGGTAAACACACACCGAGCGCAGACCGATGAACAGCTGCATCCTGAGCGCACACACCTCCAGGTTGGAAGGTGGGCAGGCCTTCAAAAACACACACAGACAATATCCTCTTAATGCTAAAACAGTAAAGTATACTGTAGTAAGAGGATCTTACTGTGCTCCATTTTTCATAGGAATATAGATGTTTTATAGTTGAGACATTGTGCCAAAGAAAAGGGCCGACTGATGGCAATGTCGAGCAGTGCAAACATTAAAAACAAATGAACATGTGTTGATTCTTTTACTCTTTAAAGTGGCTGAATTTGATTTGTACACACAGTAGCTCAACGTTCATGTGTATACATCTGCAGGCTTTTTCTAAAACAGGGGTGTTGCAGACCATCATCTTCAATAGAGGATATTTAAATTGTAAGCATTCATACCTTCATGGTGGTATCGATGTAAGGGTCGTCAATTCGGGCTGCAACTGCAGCCAAGCGCACTGTGAAACACTGCAACGCATTTCTGCCAGAAAGACAAAGAAATACGATGATTTTTATTTTTTTGCGCCAAAGGAAATCTTCTAACTACAGCAGAAAACACGTTGAACCTTAAATCAGTTCATCCTATACTGCAGCTTATCAACTGTGTTTTTTAAGAGCTGACATTTTCAGTTCAAATGTAAAGTAGTATGTGTCTCAAAGCCAACCGCAGACACACTTTGTGATGACGTGCAACAGGTGGTCAGTCAGCACCGCCTCCTGGACCTTCTCTGGATACTGATAGGCCGAGAGAAGCTCAACACCGCCCTTCAGACTGTACAGGTAGCCGGCGGTGGGGAGGGAGAAGAAGCAGAAGACGCAGGCTGGTTCCTCCAGAGTCTCGGATTGGTTACCTGAAGAGAAGGATAAAACGCAGAGAGAAAGAAACCTTCACTCACCTGATCGAGTCACAAAAAACACAATTAATTAATTGCCAAATTTAGTATAAACATACTCTATAATAACTTCATTCATATTTGCAGGTTAGTCTTTGATGGAGTTTTAACTTCACGTTCAAGAGAAGAAGTTCAGTTTGTCTTTGAGGCTAATTAATCGTTTGTGCAAACTGATGATTCAAATGACATGTCTCCGATGTTCTTCACCTTTTGAGCTAAAAAAAACAACTTTTGCAGATTTTCTGGCTTTGTGCCCCGTTCATAACCCCAAGTTTCTGCCTATGCGAGTCTTCTATCCGTCTCTGTATATTGTACAGTTTGCAGTACTAACTTGTGAACAGTGGGTAGAGCTGTAGGGAGTGGAGGTGAGTCTCGTCCTCGCTGCAGCCCTGAAAGTAGTCCGGACTGAAACGTCTGCGGGGCAGAAGGGACAATGGGTTAACCTTTCACATCAGTACAACAGTCTCACTGTAAAGAGCAAAAGGTTGAAAACAGACACACACCTGAAGAGAATATATGTTAGTGTGTACTGTCCTCTGTCCTCCAGCCCGGTCTTTTCAATGCTCACAGGGATGTCACAGTCTTTAGCTCGTTCACCGAGCAACTCCTGGTGTATGGAAACGACCAGGAAGTCAGCCTGGTCTTCTGGAGGTTCTACTGCTCACACACCAAAACACACACACACACACACACACACAAACATTACTGAAGAGGTCAGAAGAACACATTAAAGCTTAATGACAGGAATTAAAATCATGCAAACAGGAAAAATTAAAAACATGTTTTACTTAATTTTACAGATACAGAGCCTCCAACCTCCACGTATATTTTGCAATCATGAAAAAATTGAGACTCAAAGATTTCATTCAGAGGCCCAAACATTATGTCACTGTAAATACATGATGTCCTTTTATTAATAAAACATTAAAGTTATGTGTGCAGCAGTGTGCATCCTTTACTTGATTCTGCAGATTCATCCAGCGTTTGATTTTCTGAGGATGCGTCCAGCTTCAGGACGAGAACCTCCAGCTCCGTCCGCACCGCCACGTATCCAGCACACAGTGACACCTAGTGGGCAGAGGAGGTAACACAATCACAGAAGCTGCAGATTATTTTGCAATAAGTAAAAAAAAAAATGGAATTTTGAATTTTTTATGTAATGATCAAAAACTATTTGGAATCTCTTTACGTGAGTCTGACTTCTACATGATTGTTGTATTTGCTCATCACTGTTGATATTTCACTTGTTTAGACAACTGAAGTAGAAATTGTTCGCTGTTCACACAATGCACATATAACCGGTTATTTTTGCATTTACTTATTTAGTAGTATTTTCATCTAAGTTTTTGATAAAAATGTTAAATACCGTCAATTTGTACTATAATTTTTGTCGAGAAAATATCCTCAAAAAGCAGTTTAAAAGTGGCTAAAGTATAAGAAACAACACAGCAAAGTAAGAAGAATTTGTTACAAGGAAAAGTCCTGTCTGAATGTACCTGCTTCGGCTTGATTATTGGAAGATGCAGGATGACTGAGCGCTCAAAGTCCAGGATGGAAATGTTCTGGTTTGAAGTTGAGGTCTGACCTGAGAGGAGGACGAGAGGATGGATCAGAGTCAATACCTTCCTAAATTAACCAGGAACAAGGACTGCAAATTAGCCACGGCTAATATATAGAAAGTCCTCTATATACACATTGTAAGAATGCCTACATGTATTGTCCCTGACAAATAAACTGATAAATAAATACAGTTGCATTCCTAGCTAACATTGACATTCGGGCACACAATGGTTTTTATTTGGCTGATAATATTTCCACACGTTTGAGTTACCTTGACTCTGACTGGAGCTCTGCTGAGTGTTCGGCCAGGTGCTCTGAACGATCTGCTGACTCTGACTCTGCTGTTTGATTGATTGTTTTTTACAGAGAAAGAAAAAAAAAATGATGTCACTGCAACGTGTACAGTAGTGTAGTAAACACAGTCCACTTATTGTTGGTCATTTTTTGGTCATAAATCCTGACAAATCTTTATGATAGGCCTGATGAATGCAGCACAATTCCTAGTCAAATAACTTTTACTTGACTTTGTGATGTCAAGTAAAAGTCACAGCTTTCCCCTCCTTCACTATAATTGTGCTTTTCTCACACAGTGGGGGGGGGGGGATTCCTGGGTGTGTGATGTCCCACTTCATCTACTTGTTGAAGGAATAACAGGAGTCATTTCTGAATAAAAAGGAAGGAAAAAGAATAAGAAGGTCTAACGAGGAGGAAAACTCCCACGGCAGTGGTTTGGTTTGGGTTTCTTACCAGGCTCTGCTGGTTCTGCCTCCTCAAAGTGAACAGAACCAGAGTGTTCTCACAGCCGACCAGCAGGTCTCCTGTTACAGAGCAGCACGCCACAGCCACAGGACGCTCCGACAGAGGGATCTCAATGATCTCCATCTGCACCCCGCCCCGCACAGACGCCCCACGCAGCAGGTGTCCCAGCAAACGCACCCCGACACGGGCCTTCTCCTCTGCCTTTATTTTTTTTAAACAGAAGAAAAAAACAGATTTAAAAGACCAAAAGAGGGAAGACTACGGTGCAGACAAAGCACTTACTTTCTGTCTTTCTTTCTTTCTTTTTTACACACATGGCAAAGAAGTATGTACCTGGTAGCGCCAGTTGGTGTAGGCTCTCAGGTAGGTGGCGCTGTTCTTTTCTTCGATGGTCACCAGGTAATCTCCTGATTGTCATTGAGGGAAGGAGAAGGAAGTGAGGACGTTCAGTTCTGTTCGTTCTGTGTTACTAATATCTCTCAGAGACATAAAAACGTACACTCTATTTGTGGATACGTGTTTAGATATTTTCAAAGGCTGGTGACAGAATAGAGGAAAGGTTTTTTTTTACCGATCTTGCTGTGTTGGATCTTCCTCACGGCGCCCATGGTGGCAAAGCGGCAGATGAGAGGGCAGCCCTCCTGCACCACGCTGTAGGCCTCCACCTTGGTTCAGTTCAACACGTCATAACACAACAAAGTCAGCGCTCCATCTCTAGAAATCTATAGCTTCTAAAAAGTTATACTCTTCATGTTAAAATGACATTATGTACTGGATTAATAGCAAAGACTATGATTGGTAGAAGTTGTATAGGGTTTAAAGTTGACGAGCAGGGGGGAAAACCTTTGCCATGCATTTGTCTTATTTTGACTTGATTAGTGTCACAATGTCTTTACACGTCGGCCCAAACAACTGCAGCTGAATCAGAACGATGCTGCTTTTTCTATTCTTTGTTTGAGTGATTTGTAAATGCCCCTTTTTACACGTTTGTTTTTCCCTGCGTCATGATGCTTTTAATGTCTTGTGTGAAGCAGTAAACATCTTCCTGTAGAGTTTATGGTCTGAATAAATAATTCCTTCTTCAATAAGGCATTTACACATTTTGTAATTATTGGTCCCAATTGAGTAAAAATACTCGATATATCAGAATATGTTCTCATGTGTGGCTACCTGCTTGACATGTTGCAACCACAGTGGCCTGTCAATCAGTTTAGCGACCATGTGCTACAATATGGGGTGAAGGCTCACAAAGCAATGGGTGGAAGTTACAGTGGCTCTGTCCACGTCTTAATACAGGCCATGGTTATATTGTGTTACAAATAAATAAGAAAAACAGGACAACTATGGCTTAAAAAGTATGCATATTTCAGGTAACCTTGCATCCTCCAGTAGCAACGACAAACAGGGCTCCACCTCCACAGCAGACCAGCCCAGGCTCCTGCTCCACCTAAGACCCAGAACATGAAGGTGGATTAGTTCAGACGTGATATAAATACAGATCACTGGTGACGATCATATGAAAACAGCTTAGCTAATCGATCTTTTTACCTGTACTATCTGCTGCGAGGAGAAAGGATGGCAGTTGTAGACGTGCACCATTTTTACGTCCTGCTCTTGTCAGTGCAGAGTGGAAATGTGATCGACTGTTAACCGCCTGCCTCCTCTTCTCATGTCATCCAAGTATCAACTCCACCATTTGGTTGCTGAGGGTTCATTCAGTAGGACCCCTACCATCAATGGAAACAAAGATTAACAGACATTTAGTTACAATCTGACATCAGATCAAAGACTCTCAGAGCTGGATGGTTCAATCCAATCAAGACATGGAGGATTAATCAGCTGTCGTAATCAGCACTAACACTTGGAGTACCACAAGGGTGCGTCCTCACACCTCTGTAGTTTGTATACCAATGACTGTATTAATCATCACGATCATTCTAAATTACTTTAAATGACGATGTTGCTCTGATAGGTCTTTGAAACGACAATGAGACCAATTACAGAGTGTGATGGACTTTCTGTATCTCTGTAAATGCACAAACATTAAGCCCGTTCCCTGGGCCTGACAGCGGTCACAGGGTTGGCTGTGACTATGACAACCAAGGTCACTTTGTGTCTCCCCTAATATCTGGCTTGTTTGGCAGACTTAGTGACTGCTCTTGGTTATCTGAAACATAACATTGTGTCAAATCCCAAGCTTTTAGGTAAGAGTAGTAAGAGTAACATGCACCTGACTTTAGCATCATCTTGAGGATAAACACCAAGCCTATGGGACGATCTGACAGAAATGGTTTGACTAGACACTGTATTACATGTGAGCTTTTAATGTCATTTCTCCTCTGGAGTCATACACTGTATAATCAACTTCAATTTAAGCAGTCTGAGTCTCCTGAATCTATCGTGTGTTAAAGTCAAGTATCCAGTAGTAGAAAATGTTACTGGTGTAGTGAGAACTCATTGATTTTAAACACAAACAAGACCAAATAAATGGTTAATGATTTGAGAAGATAGTCATCTCTCTCCCCTGTGATAATGACCGACACAGCCATTGAAATATTGTATTGGAAGTATTAGGGCACAAATATTGACGACAAAATGACGTAAAACGCTAACATGAATGCAAGATTCTCGAAGGCTCAAAAGCGCCTCTATAGAACAGAAGTTTAAATGTTGACAGTGCTATCTTGAAATTGTTGGCATCACATCTTTTGTGCCACACAGCAATCAGCTGTTCTGACTGAACAAGCTCTGACTTTATATATATATGCACTTTACACTCTGCGCTTTATTGAACTTGCTACTTGAAATCCTTTCATGTAATCATGTGACGCTTAAATAATGTATTTTAATGATTTTCAAGATTCAATTTATTGTCACTTGCATAATATACTCTTAGCAATACATGGAAGAGAATAAATGCTGTCCTCAAATCAGCCGTCCTCCTTCTAATTTGCAGTCCTGCATGGTTGTCGACGTCTTTTGTCAATTCTGTTTTCATGCTCTCAGAGAAAGACAAATACACAGAGAAGCAACGAAGACTTTTCATTCTGGTGGATTTACAGTTTAGACACAAATACTTATGGAGTCATTGTTCATGGTAACTTTAGGAACAGCATAACTACCATATTAATCAAATATTGAATAGCCTAGATGTTGGCTGCATTCCTGTTGTAATTTCACATGTGAACCACCTTTTTATGAAATCATCCTTAAGAGAAATGAGATGAGATGTTCAGACTTTATCATGAATTTCAAAAAGCCAGAATGATGGAGGTCAATTAAATTAACTTTTTGGTTACTTTCTAATAAAAAGGGCAGCCGAGACATTAGAAAGAAACCATCTTTCCAAAGGGATTACTTCTTTGGTAGAGTTAGAAGACTTTTCCGTGGATAAATGCAACAAGAACTATCAGTATTTGTAATTTAAACTACCTGGTTTTGTTCATTTTCATCATGAAATCCTCCCTTTTCTGTCATCACACCATACTTAAAAAAAACACTGAAAACTTAATTTATAGACTAATGTCTCCCCTCGAGTGATTTAATCTTAAAACAACATACTTTTAATGTTTTACTCAGCTTTTCATGCAGACGGTAATCCCCTGTGTTTCTTTAATCGATGTCACATGCAGCAGTCTTGTGAGCAGAGGAGGGTGTAACAATCCCATTCAGATTCACATAATGTTCCTTTTAGTGTATCAAACTAAAGTTACACACCCGCTAAAGTATTATCAAAAACAGTATTAACAATATACCTACTTTGCAGCCAGGTTTTTCGGTTTCTCCTCTCTTCCTACTTTCGCTGCTGCAGGTTAGGTTATTGATTTCACGCTGTACAGCAGGAAGTGAACCGTCATCCACAACAACCAAAGACCCCGCCCACTCTTCCTTTTCATTGGCTAACACTCCTGCTCGTATCGCGTTCGACGTTTTCATTGGTTATCGAGCTGTCATAATCTGAAGGGTGGATTCATCTCTTGTTATTTTTGTTTAACCTGCATTTAACTGTAGTATCTCGTTGTTTTAATGACTGTGTGAACACTCAAGAAGTAATACTGTACAAAATGTGTTTTATCGTAGTCTTTAAATGTGGACTTGTAAAAGTGAAACGTCAAAATATTCAAAGATAAATATCATACTTAAACATGATACTACACTCTAAGGTTGCAGGTATTCAATGGTATCTGTCTGGATTATTTGTCCAGCTATAAATTGCACCACATGGTACAGTCTGTATCTCATCAATGACTGATAGGACCTAAATGACAAAACGTTACCATGAGCCTCCACGTGAAGCTCACATGTACGTTTGTGGATCTACAAAAATAATATATTGGCATATAATAAAACTGAAAATCATTTGGAAACTTTAAATAACTGTTGTAATCTTTCCTGTAAAAATCATTGGACTTATTTTGCATTACATAAACCAATACATCTAAACAGTAGTGATATTTATTTGCATGTTCTACCTATGCATTCAAAGTAAAAACCAACACATGAAAGTAAACCATCACAATTTTCATCTGTCACTTCTTACTGATTCCTTTTTTTCAAAGTAGCAGAAGTATCCAACCTCTCTTTGCCTAGCTGCTTTTAGTGTGTAACCTACTTTAACTCAAATCCTTCTGAAAGGTACTGATACACAATGAGAATTTACATTAAAATGCCACTTTTTGGCACACCGGACAGTCTATAGTATTCATGTAAGGAGGCTATCATCTTCCAAGGGCGGCTCATGTCCCATCCCTGTTTCAAACTCAATACACTGTTCTATCAATAAATGCACAAACGCTCCTAAGTAACAACTACATATTTATTTAAAGGAAAAGTTCATGAGAATAATAGTGTTTTATTGCTTGATGTAATCATTTCTCCTGCCCACATAATGAAAGTTGCCGTTTTTTTCCCCTCCACAATTTCAAAGTGTATGAAAGTCTTTCAATGCACACACGTGAATACAACATCTCAATCATTCATCTAAAAGATCCTGTTTTATGAAAAATCCAACACAGTAAGACGTTCCCTTAAAAAGCACACGAGGTGCATTTTCAACTCAAAACATAATTATGAGAGGAGCATTCCACTTACAATTTGTACATAGTGATTTTATTTGAGAAGAATCAGATAGAAAAGTCACAGCGAGGATGAGATCAGAGTCCAATCAAATGTGTGTCATTATCAGCATCTTCACTTCTATTTCCTTGTCTGGCCGTCCATGAAATCCTTCGCTTCATTTATCTTGGCTGCTAGGTAGGGAGATCCACCTGTGACACACACATACAAACCGAGACAAACACACACACACACACACACACACACAGTGTTCATGGTGAAACGTTGGACAGTTTGGCTGACGACAGAGAAGTCTACCGTAGGATTTATCATTTTTTGATATCACGCTTCATTCATCATGTCCCCTTACAACAGACGAGGGTGGCCCTTACATTTAGTGCTGAACACGTTCCAAAGCAGATTTATGGGCTGTATTGTAGATACAATCTCTACCAATAGCTTGAGCAAAAGCATGAAGAAATCTACACTTGAAACTCCCCTTTACCTCTGTCTGGATGGTTCAGGATCATCAGCTGTCTATGAGCTTCTCTGATCTTACTCTTGTTGGCTGTGGGGCTGAAAGACAGAATATTGTTTAAAAAAGGTTAAACGGTGTTGTTAATTATTTATCTCCTCTATTGGAGAATAATATAGCAGACACTAAATCACACAGTACAGATGTAATCCTTCAGCCTACATGTGGCCCTAGACGTACAGTAACATGTAAGAAGTTGACTCAACTGGGACTGGAAAGAGTTACTTTAAAAGTGGGAAAAAGTGTCCAAATACCTGACACCTAAAACCAGGGAAGCTTCTCTCTTGTTCATCTTTGGTTCAAATCCCCCTTTATAGTACCCTCCTCCAAAAGCCTGCAACAACAGAAACAGTAAACCAAACATCCTGACGTGTCCTCTCACTCATTTAAGAAAAAAATCATTTACTTTAGGTAACGTAAGCATGATTTCTTACCGTCTTGGGGAAGCTCTGAAAGGCCTGTTTCATCTGAGGCTCCATCTGCCTCATTGCCTGCATGGCATAACGGCCTAGAAGAGAAGGGAGGGGGGGAGCATGCAGCAGGTCAGATTTCTGCATGAAATGAAGAATACTATTGCTAGGATATGATTGTGATAAGATACACAATAAATTGAAATGATAATTTTAGCATCACAATTGAAATAGTCTCACAAAAAAAAAAAAATCATGATAATTGACATTGGTAAAAGACTCATAGGCCAGGGTATCTCATGAGCACCATGGTTACTTGTTCTGCAGCTTTTTCATCACACTTTTCCCCCCTTTCTAAAAAATGAATTTGAACTCTTTGACTCTTTGACTCTTTGACCTCTTTATATTATCTGTAAACTAGTATAGCATGCTCACTGCACCTTAATCTGTATATTATAATCCTAAGAATACACTTATATTTATAGCATTTATTTATATTTATAGCATCCCATTAATCCAGCCATCCAGATATACCTAATAATTCACTTTTTTTAGTCTACATCTGTAAATTTTGTAATTACTGTACATAGCACAGACTCTTGCACTTTCTGCTTATTTGCACTTCTGGTGAGATGCCAAACCTCATTTTGTTACTCTATACTTGTATATGTGTAATGACAATAAAGTTGAACCTCATCTCATCTCATCTCATCTCATTAGCTTCACCTGACTGCATCAAATGGGGCGACAGAATGACCACTACACCCAGGCTTCCTTGACTTTGTGACCTTTCTGTGAAAAGTGCTACATAAATAAACTTTACTTATCCGAAACAGAAAATGACATGTGATAATACTGATTTATTGACCACCCTTCATTAAAACTATCAGACATGGATTAGAGTAATCCAGCTTTTTTTTTATCTTGTTAGGAAAACACAAAGTTACTCTGCAAAGTAAGTTATCCAATAGACTTCAGAACTTGTCACAACAAGAGTCTTAACTTCAGACAGGTACTTGTGTCAGGGTGATTGCTCACCACCACGCATGCGTTATGCTCTCCCACACTCTCGAGGTTAGAGACATGTTCATCACGTTGGAGTTACATACCTGCAAAGCCAGCTGCAGCCAGAGCCAGTCCCACTGCCACCATGGAACTGGCCTGAGAGAAAACAAAAACACACGGAGCAGCTACTCAAAAGCTGTGCAGCAATGCAATGTAAACACAAGACACACGACTGAAGTTGTTCTAATAACGACTCCTGAAGCTACCTTAAGCGGTAGAGACCTGTGGTGACGTCGTGGGCTATATATGTTCAAGCACTGCTAACGTTAGCTTAGCCATTTAGCAGACACATTAATTATATTTTCGGACAGATTCCTGACGATGCAGTACAGTTTTTATGTTAATGTAAGAGGTAATAAATACAACAACAACAATAAAAAAAAAGGCCGACCTACCATGTTTATGTGTTACGTTCCGTAGCTGTACAATACTAGGACCATAACTTTTGACCTCTCATGTTTTCATAGCACACAGGCGTGTGTGTGTATGCGTGTGCCGGAAATGGGAAGAGAACTGTCGCAAAGCCTCAACATACTGCTGGCTGGCTCCTCCTCTTTAGGTCAAACTGTCAAACTGATGCCTGGCTAAATAGATTACATGCACACACTAGGCTGACATTCAATTATAACTGATCATTTACAACAACTAAATGTACACACTACATTAGTCTAAGAACATTATTTGGACAAAACACTGTTTGTATGCCTACATTAGTAACCTACCACAACATATCTTTAATTTGTAGTCAAAAAAACAAAATTTTTCAATACCTAATGGAAAGTTTTTCAATAAGTTTCCCTTTAAAACTGATTGTGGATTTGTATTAGGTAGTTCTTGTAGCCTTCCAGCAGATGGAGCTATTTTATAATTATATCATTCTGCTGAAAGACTATTTTTCTATACCTGTTTGCTAAAGAAGCTGTGGTTAATATATGACCAGCATTGTTTGTTCTCTAACAGTAGAACAGGCTGTATGTCCTTGCTTTAACTATTTCCATCTCAGCTGTTTGTAATCCTACCTGTATAGGCCTATTTTGTTGATGGATTAAACAAAAACAAAAATCAAATCAGTTTTTATTTATGAATGGAGCTGCTTTTAAATCAGTGTCTGTACCCCTTACATTAAAGTACATATGAATCCCTTCATTCTTGAACAATTTATACTTAAACCATGAACACAAAGGAAAACGAAGGCGGCTGCATGCACTATATAACAATAAAGGCTGCTTTTTGATTAAGCAAACACTGTTAATTGCCCTTGTTACGCTGTGCAATATTAATGAACTCCTGCCAACCAATCAGAATATTTTAATCTTTATTGAGTGAGAGCCGAGGCTAAAGTAGGATACCAGGGAGAGTAAAAATGACATGACATGTGCAAGGAGCCACGGGCAGGACTTGAACCTGGGCTGCCCACTTGGAGGACTAAAGCCTCCATACATGGGGCACAACCTAACCACTAGGTCACAATATGTTTTTTAAGCTAACATCAAGGTAATAAAAAAAAATACAAATGCATACATTAAAAACAATCAGAGTTTATTTGTTTTTGTTTGATATAAACTGAGAGGATTTGCAAGAAATTAAGGGTGGCAAGGATCCATTCTCTGCTTCCAATGTGGGATGGATAAAAAGTAACCAGAATTCAAAAATCAAAACCTTTTGGAAAGATGAAGCTCCTCTTGGGTGTTTGAATGTAACTCTTCTATAAAAAAACAAACTCTTGAATTGGCTGTTACAGTAGATTCCCATTATTTGTGACTGCAGTAACAACAGTTCTTCCTGGGGTCCGAGCTTGTTGTTATCAGCCAACTGCAGGAACTTTAATGAATAGATTTGTGTGTTTTTTGTGTGGGTGAAGAAGTTTTGAGGCTTTGTGGTGCTCGATTAGGTCATCTAAGTCCTCCCAGGTTGTCTCTCTCTCACACCCACAGACAATCAGAGGACTGTAATCTTTCTCCATGCTGATCAATAAACCTGATAAGAACTTCATCCGGCCTGCTGGCAGTGACTAATGCTGGGGCTGACTCCTAAAGGTCCACAGCGCTGCTGCTGCGGGAAACAAAGGAAAAGTGTGTGTTGTTCATGGTGAATACATTAGTTATTTTATATACAAACTCTGCAACGTTGGCCTTTTCTTTGGAGTCTACTGTATAAATGGCTTTTACTTTAAAAACATAATTGTGACAGTCATGCTAAACAATAAAAGAAGGCTGCTTTGTATGATAGTACTAGACCCATAATTCATCAAAAATTGATTAAACTTGCACTAAATCAGTCTAAAGAGCCCCATTTTTGTTTCCAGATGAGTGAAAGGTTTTGATATTGCAAAAAATTGAACTTCCTTGACATTGAGCTCTTAAAATGTCATTGGACAGATTAATTACAGCATTTCTTCAACCATCTTACTTACTTATTGCTTTATGTCTTAATTACATTCCGTATTTTCTTCATTTTTCTATTAAATATCGCTATTCCTCTACTGCTATATGTGTGCAAGAGCAACGCAAATGATTTTCTACTGGGGATCAATAAATTAGCCTGTTTTTAATTCTGCAGTACCTGATGAATCCTATAGAAGTATAGGCCTAGATACAGATATCGTTTTTTATGGTCAACATGACACCAACATGTCGGTTAGCTTTAAGTTATATTCGTTGTGAAGATGCCTCATTCAAAACCTTTTTCATATTTACACATTAATATTAGTAGACTCAATTGTTGTAAAAGCTATTGCTGTGCTATTCTAAGATGCACTGTTTGTGTACTAAATGGACAAATTAATAGGCTAACTGCCTGGTGTAGCTGTTACCGTTGGCTAACAATACTAGCTACCTGACAGAACTACCACTACATTGCTTATATTCTAAGAAAAGCAAAAAAAAGGTAGTGTGGTAAATAATTTATCTAAATGCATTTCAGTTATGATTGTATTAACATTACATCCACAGAAAATACAATAGGCTATAACTCTCAAATATAATTCTAATGCTAATTCTTTCTCACTAACTTTTTTCCAGCATATTCATAAATCAATAAAATGTTGCACCTGACTGGATGCAAGTTGTTTTTTAAGTCGTAACTTACATGCTGGTAAATTTTATGACACAACCTCATTTAGTAGGTCTACAGTAGGTGTTTTAAGCTGTTGGAAACCTATTAAAAAAGAGGAAGAACTTTAAGCTAACAGTGCTACATCAAACGGTTTAGCCTATCTTCACTGAGAGACGATCACAGGAAGTTCCGTCTTGTTTGTATTTTTTATTTTTTTATCTGCTCCTTCCCTTCATCTGTATCTCAGACACAAACAGCATCACATTACATACACAGATGGTAATTAGACAGAGAAAAGTTCTGATTGTTATCACCGTAGGCCGACTGCTGTTCCCACTCTTTTCACCTATTTGACATTCACCTCCTAATCTGCTGAATCGCTGTGATCCACCTCGATGAGCAGACTTTGATAAACCTTTGATTTGTCTGGGAAACAAAAGTACCGGGGGACAAGGTTGCAATGATGGCCGTGTCTTTTAATTTGAATTTATAGTATAGGCTACATGATATGAATGTTACAACCAAATTCAAGTATGGGACCTTTACAATCAGAGTAGCCTACAGCTAATCATTTTTTTCATTTCTCTCTGCTCTACAAATCAAACTGTGATATAAACACAAGGAGAACCTCTCTGATACAAGATACCTTTAAAAGACAGCTGCATAAAAGTGCAGCTAACAATGTCTTCTTATATGTATGTTGTTTCTCAACTCCTACCCATTCTTACTTCTTTAACAGTCTTGAGGACTGTTGAATTGGCAACACACGGAAACACAAGTCTTGGCAGGAAGTCCTTTATTTCTGACGGCTGGCAACGGTGGATGCCCCAAAAAGTAAACTGTCGCTTCCAGAGACTAATTTATCATCAGATGATGGTTGATAGGTTCCAAGACGCCATTATGGTAAATACAAGGGCCTTGATTTTGGAGCTTGACCCATCGTTTGGGCTGTACTACCCTAGTTTAATTCTGTTCTGTCCAGGTGATCCGGCTTCCTCCCACAGTCCCAAGACATGCTTGTTAACTTAATTGGTGTCTCTAAATTGCCCGAAAATGTGACAGTGTGTTGGTTGTCAATCTCTATATGTCAGCCCTGTGACTGACTGGTGAACAGTCCAGAATGTAACCCGCCTCTTGCCCAATGACAGCTGGGATCGGCTCCAGCCCCCCCGTGACCCCCGGACGGGAAAAGCAGTATAGATATGGGATAGTTTGATTTCAACAACTATTTTTGAAAATTCTGCCTCTTCCAAACTTCCAATACTTTCAGAAGTCCAGTGCTAGAGTCACTGGAGTATTCCTGTAAGCATCATGTCCAACTTGTTTAACCATTATTAGCTTTTACAGCAAAGAGTTGCAAAAGTATTTCCAAGAATTAGTCAAAAAACTCATGTAAGTACCTGCTAATATGATGTTTTGGCTGTGCAGACTTCATGGAGATTGCAAAGTGTCCCCAACACTTGACGATTCATTATATGCATAGAGGCCTAGATTCCTTTGTAGAGGATGAATAAATGCATTATGTTTGAATTATTTAACAGCGACATGACCTGTGTTTCTGAGCTGATGAGCTGTTTACACCACTAATGTGGATGTTAGGTAAATAAACCAGCTCATTCTGCAGTCGTATCCATCCTCAGTCGTGTTCCTGACGGGCTTTAACTCGTCTCGACGCGACAACAAACACGATGCCACTGACACACACACAGAGCCGACGAGGGAAGGGTTTCCAAGATTTAGGACAAACACGGATGAATTAAACATCAGAGCAGCTTCCCACTCCTGAATTCCTTCCACTGCCGTCTCCATAAACAGACCACCCATCAATCAGAGAGAAGATACACGAGAGCCTGTTTGTATCAAAGGACTGACACAGATACAGACCAGGAGGAAAGAAAAGTGCTAAAACTGACGAGGACGTCGGCTCCGTCAAAACAGGAAGTGTTGTGTCAGAGCTGAGCGGGAGGCAGGATATGCCCAAAATAAACATAAGGGAAAAAAGTCACATTATTCTTCTCAAAGACAAACAACACAGACGTCATGATAAGAGTCTATATCCATTTTTTTTTCTTCTTTTTTTTTAAAAAGATTACAATCAGTACAGGAGTCATTACATTGCCATTTAAAAAAAAAAAAAAGAAGATAGATGAGAAAATCTAACAAATCCAAAAATCATCCATTTTGATTTTTGTAGCATATTTGCATTACATCATATTAAAAAAAATCATTTTATTTGCAAGTTTTCAAATATAATCCGTAAAAAATACATCCCAGGGTTTGCTTTAGATAGTCCATATAAGCTCTGTTTCATGCAGCATTTAAATTCCTTCATTCATCGTAATTGAAAATTAAGTCGACCAGCTTTACAAGAACAAAAGATTCGACAAAATATATATATATATATATACCTGCATAAAACAAAGCCAGATTATTTTATCTTTAATCAAACTCTA